TAACAAGATACTTTTTTAAGGGTGTTACTAAATAACACCTAGGTGTCCCCTTGAGCACCTGGATTTATAATTCCATATTAAACCACGTAAATATTTCAAATTTAGTATTATTTCCTTTGTCATATTAACTTGACATATGATAGACTTGAAATAATCATTTGTAGTCGAGAATATTCTAAAGAAGATTCGAAAATAAAATATAGAAAGCTTTATTGTTAGAAAAATGGGCACCTGGAATTTTGCTCAAATGTATTGTCACTTATTTCACGGACCTGCTTATTTGTAGTAATAAAACACCGTTTATGCTAAATTGTGCATTTATATTTGAAACATAAATTTTTTCTTGCTTTAGTTGCTAAAATAGTAGCATTTTGTAGTGAGCAAATAATGAAATATTATCCTAACAATTTAACAAATGACTTTTCGACATCGATCAAATTTTCAAGACAATTAAAAAATATCATAAACAAACAGAAACATTTACACAAGTTTCATGAAAATACTTTATCATGTAATATATTAACACTTGGAAAAATGTTAGCTTGAAATAAATGTAAAATATGCCAGTAAGGCATTTCAATGGGGACACCTAGGTGGTATTTAGTGCAACCCCTTTTTTAATATCAACCAAACCTTCCTTTGTACGATTACAATATTGAGAGACCTACACACGTTGTGTTTATGTCGTTTTGTTCCAATGAGGTTCGGATAGACGTTTCATTTCATTCCGAACATATGATACCAAGAACAAAAGAAGTGTCTCATATGTTATCTAAAACAATATAGAGAAAAGTATATAAATATATGTGTATTTATATTCATAAATTGAAGTTTATTTTGATCGATTGGATAGTTCTCATCCTAGCATGACATGAATTGGGTTCTTAGCCCAGAACAAAGTTGTTGGTTATTTATAGAGAAAAGTAAATTTCAAATTATAATGTTACCATACAAAAGATAACCATTAAATTGACGATGTGTAAAATTTTCAGAATGTTTGTTGACTGGTTTAAGAGAAATGTGTATTCAAAAAGTTCACCATATCGATACCACTCCTATGAAGATGACTTAACCCCCATCTACTCCACTTTATCCATGAGCAAAAGGAGAAAGACAGAAATGATTGTCCAGAAGTATTTCTTATAATATTCCTTTTATATCTAAAAATGATTCTACAATAGATAAAGTTTGCATGTACCTCTGACTCTGAAGAAACTCCGAATGACTCCCCCTCCCCCCATTTCATTCAATCAATAAGGGAGAAGGACTGGACTTTTCTCACTTATTCCAAAATTATTTGTTCAAATATCCCCTTTACCCATGTGCAATTGAGCATAATTCAAAGGTTTGCGTGAGACCCCCACATGGGAAGTGGTTGAGGTTTTGACAAAACAAAGATTGAGCTGTCAAACTCAAATCATGGGAGTAACCTATTGAGTCAACTTCCCCACCCTGGAAGCATTAATAGAGAGTCAAATATAGTGAAAATTCCTGTTATTAAAGAGGCACTATGCCATAGGAAAGCACAATCAAGACCCCTCTGGACTTTTTTGCATGTTAAGTTTCACCACATATATACCCATCTACTTACAAAAGAAGAAGTCCCAAATCCCCCTCTTTCAGTGTTAATTTTGCGATTGTGCTGGCCGATCTAATTATTTTCGAAGAAATTAATTCAGTCTGAAGTTTCAAGATACCGGGAAAGTCCTCCAGTTATCTGATTGGTCGTTGAATTTGCTTATCATAAACCTGATTGGCTGCCTGTTTCAAGTCGCTTGTGGGCGCTTGTGTGACTCAATGGGGATTCCCCTCGCTAGTCGAGGAGTCGATTGTGTTTAATTCTGGAGTCTGGTTATTCTGTCGATTATTTCCGATATTTCGGCAATAATATACCCAAAAGTTATTCTCAAGATATATCCATGGTATGTGAGATATTATATGAGCAATAACCATAGGACATCATTGATTGTCTGGGGGAGACACCTATGGCATAATGCATCTTTAACAATATACTTTTGAAAGTCTCTACTCTCAGGACTCTTTGAATGCTGCATAATATTTGAGAATGTATAATTTTCATGTTCACTAGGAAAATTCTAATTATGTCAAACTTTACATCATGCACTCTATATTAATAGGCATTCTTAGCATGTACATTATTTTCTTTCGGCTCATATCTTTCAGCCCATAAATTCCCATCCTCTAGGTCTATATATAAACATTGAAACAGGCTTTTGACCCAAGAAATTTGTGTTTTATGACATTTGTGAAACATATTCTTGAAGAAATATTATACAAGGCAGGACATAAGTAGTCATCATAGAATTTCTGATCCAATTGTGCCATCTCCGCATTCTTGTATTTCTAAGGGGTAGGGGTCAACAAAGCCATATTAAAAATACAAAATAGTACTTTATCATTACATTACTTACATTACAATGTCACAAATAGCTTGGAAATGATTTTTGAATACTACTTGGAGCACTATAACTGCCTATTATTTCTCTGAAGCTGCAACAATAAAATCGGTAAGACTAAAAAGGGGTAAGGGGTAGGGGTCAACAAATCCATATTACAAATACAAAATAGTACTCAATCATTACATTCCTTATATTACAATGTCACAAATAGCCTGGAAATGATTTTTGATTACTACTTGGAGCACTATTACTGACTATTATTTCTCTGAAGCTGCAAAAATAAGATTGGTGAAAATAAAAAGATAACGAAACTATGCTTTTTATTTCGATAAATTATATTTTCTTCCAAACCGATCAACATATCTCCCTATAACTTTGGGAAACACTTGACTACAGTGCTAGCAACATAATATGTATAAATCAGTGCTATAGTTAATGTATAACTGATTTTATAGAATGATAATATAGTACCCCCCTGAAATATTATTCTAGGGGGGTAAAACTGCTCAGAATCCTTCGTCCACAAACTAAAAAGACCCAGACATATATGAATTGATGCTAAATGAAGCCATCTTTCAGAAACATTATGTCTATCAAGTGGCCCTTATACTTCCCAAAACCCATGCTGAAGCCTGGACTATTACAGAAAACAACGAAAAGGATAATAGAATACATCCGGGGAATACATACAGTGACATCTATCTGAAAACAATATAAAATAAACAAAAATGAAGTTACACTATAAAATATTATACTATAAAATATCTGAATTAGAAAAAGCTGAAACCACTGTATGGCTTGCTGAAGAAACACGACAATCTGAAAAGAATATAATTGAAAAGGAGTATAATATAATCAACAACACGAATAGTCCACCTGGCAGATGTTTTTCAAATTTATTGTCGATCGATGTTTTCAGTGTATAAATTGCCTTTTTGGTAAGTTCTGTTTTTCTCTATTTTTCATAGACGCCAATGGGATTAGTTACCTTTCGTTAAATCATTTCTTGACATCCGAAAAGTGGGAATAATTAATACTACCTAGCTTATATTTGCAAAAATAGATTTCAACAAGCAATTGGAAAGTCGGTCGATTTACAACGAACAACTTGGACGATCTTTTGGAAATAATATAAAGCACTTACTATACATTCTATTTTAGGTTAAAACTAGTGGTACTAGGCAATGTTAAAAATGCCACGTCCCGCTTTTCTTGCAGAATTGCCAAGATATTTGATTGATGACACACGACGAAACAATTTTGTAAACGGATAATTCTATATTTTATGTTCAAGTACCAAAATAGTATTTTATTATTATATTTTACTGACACATATTTTAAGAAGAAACGAGTAAATTGTATTGATCGGAAAGGCCAATTATTGAATTATGAAATTGATGAAGCTATTACATATCAATGAATCTTGGTCAAGGCCAAAGGATGCGAGATACCCGGGACCTAGCTATCTGTGAATCAATGTTCAGTTATCAAGATCAAATAAGTCAGACCCTTTTTAATTTCAAAAAGTTGTCTGAAATCGCATCATTCGCATAATGGATATATTTTCCTGTGGCCGTCCACAAAAAAGGAAAGATTTCTTCAATGGTATACATTGTTACGCGGTATATGGCATACATCCATGGTTGCGCGGTATTTGTGATACGGGTGAATATGCCATACTCACCTGCGGTATATGGCATATTCCGCAGGCGAGTATGCCATATTCCGCAGTGAATATGCGATACATTGATTTCAGTGAATACCCGATACTCACTTGCGGAATATGTCATACTCACTTGCGGAATATGCCATATACCGCAGGTGAATATGACATATATCGCAGGTGAAAACGTGATACAGAAAGCCTTGATTTGATTGGTTGCGAGAATCGACTCTTAATGTAAAACTACGCTGGATTACCAATATAGTTAGTGCGTCGAGTACTAATATATGAATCCTGGATTGATTGAGTAAGTTTATTACGCGAGATTGGTGACTGATACTTCTGCTAAATTAATATATTCGATACACAGTACTGTTGATTCAGTTATCATTCTAATAATTTATAACGTTTTACTTGTTCATTCGATCGATGCAATTGACAATTGCGTACTTCCGTATCACGTTCTCATTGGTTAGTGTGTATGCCATATACCGCAGGTGAATCTGTCATACACCGCAAGTGAATATGCCATATTCGTTGCGGAATATGACATATTTTTGTATCGTGTTTACCGCGTAACATACATCGAAGGTCAATATAATCAATGGTATCTATTTCCCTAATGATGGTAGACATTGGATAAATGGCGACACTTCATTGTTGATGACTCAACATGACATTCCAAGTTTTAACTCAAGTTCTTATACCACTCATCTTCCTGATCGATATCAGAGTTGGTTTGTTTACAGGGACGTCATGTAATCCCAGAGGTAAGAAACATATAAAGAAAGCGGGATAACATCATAGAATATTGATGAATGTATCGAATCTTTGCATGCTTCGAGACATTGTGCATCAAAAATCATTGCCAGCGTTGGCAACCTGGGATATATTGTATATTTTTATCGATGGGCTGTTGTTTCCACACTTCACTTAAAGAATAGTACGACGGAGACACATATGATATCTTGGGGCGCTCATGGGTATAAATAACAATAATCTCATTAATTAATGAGTCTGGGGGCTCTGCTACTAAGCAACTAAGTAGCACATCCTAGCTCCAACGGATGATCGATCCAACAAGCGTCGGTTTTTAAAAAGCAATTCAGGAAAATGATATCGTTTAAATCGACCAATCAAGGCAAACCCAAATCAACTAAGAATGGAGAATTTTCCAACAACGTTACAAATATCCTAAATTCGGAAACAACAGGAAACATCAAATCAGAAAACATGTTCAATTTAATCAGAAAATTACAAGATCGCAAAAAGTTCAATGAAGAAACTCAAAAAACAAGGGAGAGAGAGCAGTCTTTAGCCAAACATGAGGAGAAAACCAATCAACATGGAGAGTTACCTCCTGTCTTTAACAAGAGGCTATTTTCGTCGAGGGGAGCGGTAATCATCACTGGAGCCGCAAGAAAAATTATGGAACAAAACGCGGAGATTTTGCTCAATGAGTCGGATGACCGTCCAATAAGTAAACATATTGTAGGGACAATGAGAGGCGTTGTTGATGGTTTAAAACTTATTCATAAAGATCTTGACCACGTCAAAGAAATACTTAGTTACGTTATCACTTATGAAAAGATCAAGGCATTCCAATACATAACAAAAAGGACGCATGAAGATATGTTGTCTTGTTACTACATAGTCCACGGATCAGTTGAGGCAACATACGATGTATCATCTACAACTTCAAATGCAGTGCATTTTTATGAACCAAATATAATATATACACATACGTCAGGTAAATCTTTGTGGGTTTGATATATGGTACAAAAACATATATTAAAGATATATTGGCGCATCGGAATGCGCATCATTATTAATAATGTCCATATTATACAATACATAAACGCCTCCAAAAGGTTGTCGATGGCGTTGATGTTCAAGATCGTATTTGAGAGAGGTGTTAATGAAAACAAGGGATGTGAAAAAAGGATGGGGGGCAATGTAAACTAAGACCAGAAATGGTAATACCTCTTTATAATAAAAAGGGGTAGAAATGATGACAACACAACTCTGCATTTTACAATAAATCAAACCATACATTTCTAAAATGTAAAATCGGTAATATCAACCCAAATGGTGCACCAGTAGTGACCTACTCTACCACTTAACCACGGGGTACCATCGAATAATTTTGGCAACGTACCGGAGAACGACATTTTACTAAGAAATGGCAATAATTTAGCACAATATATTTTTTAACTAGAGTTCTACTTTGATTTTGACAAAAGTAAGTATTCCATGCAATGGGTATTTCATTCATGAGTTTGTAGGAATTCTGTTGGAACCCAGTTCTGATCAAGTACGAAGTTATTAAAATCGGCGCAGTCGGACTTTACTCCGAAAGATGGTTTTTCGATTATAACTTTTTACAACATTTAAGTATAGACTTTTGAAAGAAGTACAGAATAGTCCTTATACTATTGAATAATTCTGTTATTTCTGATTCACACGACTCTGATTTGTTTAATTAAAAAAAAAGTTTTAAAAATATTACTTAGGAACGTAACCGGAGCTGGGAACGTAACCGGAGCAGATCAGTTGAATTATATAATTTAAAAAAATAAAATATATGATTTAAAGCATATATATTAATAAATACGCATTCAAACAATCCCGTATGTTTTTAAATTAGTATATGTGCTTTAAATCATATATTTTAATTTTTTTGATTAAATAATTCAACTGATCTGCTCCGGTTACGTTCCTAAGTAATATTTTTAAAACTTTTTTTTTAATTAAACAAATCAGAGTCGTGTGAATCAGAAATAACAGAATTATTCAAAAGTATAAGGACTATTCTGTACTTTTTTCAAAAGTCTATACTTAAATGTTGTGAAAAGTTATAATCGAAAAACCATCTTTCGGAGTAAAGTCCGTCTGCCCCGATTTCAATAACTTCGTATTTGATCAGAACTGGGTTCCAACAGAATTCCTACAAACTCATGAATGAAATAGTTATTGCATGGAATACTTACTTTTGTCAAAATCAAAATAGAACTCTAGTTAAAAAATATATTGTGCTAAATTATTGCCATTTCTTAGTAAAATGTCGTTCTCCGGTACGTTGCCAAAATTATTCGATGGTACCCCGTGTTAACATGTTTTAATATGTTTTGATATTATTAGTTTGCATTTGATATTAAGAGAAATGTGTAGAAAGATTTCATTAACATTAGCTGCACCAGCCAACATTCAATGAGCCTCGCCACAGGAAAACCAGTCTTATCACATATATTGAAATTGTGCTACAGAGCCAAAAATGTGCCTTAGATTAAGAAGAAAATTGTGCTAAATGCAAATCCGCCTTTTTGGTCTACATCTGCAAGGAAAAAATTGTAAGACACAAGCCATGGCTCTTTAAAAGGTGTCTTTGTCCTAATTACAAACAAAAAATCAGATTATTGAAAATCTTTTCCTGTGCTCTGACTCATGTATATTTTGTTAATGACCTGTAAACTCAAGGATGACTTTTTCTCACGACCAATATTTTTAATGTTTTGTTGATAACTGATTGTCCCAAAAAGCCCTGGTGCTTGCAGAAAACTGATACAATCTTGAAAGCAACAACCAGCATCCTTAAATAATATCGATACTCTATCTCACAATAGTTGTTCTCGGCTTCCTGCCTTTTGTTATTCAAGCTGCGATTGTGCTTATTGCGAACAAGACAAGGCACATCCATCAGAAAACCCAGCAATATAAGATTACGTTAATGTTAAACTGATTATTACGTGCAATTCTTGCGAAACAAACCAACAACATCTCACTATTAAGTTGTCATTAATCAATACAGTTGATCCTCGTTATTTTATATGAACTATTGTAAACCGTGTCTATCAGCATTTCCTACGCATTTGTTAAATGGTTTTTTGCATTGTTTATTTAATGTAATATATATTGGATCGAGAAATGTACCATTGCTAATTAATGAAAGTAATTGTATTGATTTGGAAAGAAATGTCATCATCTCCCTGTCATGGTACACTTTACATTCGTTTGATTGCTATTATGATTCTTAAGGGGACAGACACTATTTTTCTGTATGCCATATCCATGTTTTTGATATTAAGTGTTTGTTCCTTTTTTAACAGTTGCATTCTTCAATTTTGTTTTTGGTTATTCCCTTCAAGTAGTTTCAAAGCTTTCAAATTGTAATATTCGCAACGAATTCCAACAATACAAAAGACTCAAATGATACGATTTTTAACCATATAATACTTGTTACACATGATTTCTTTTCATAAAGTACACATTTCATATTTAGAGTCAGCCTTGCGCAAGTCGGTCTCTTTTACTTATCTTGATTTCTAGTAATAATTCAAGATCAGATATTATCTTATTAAGTAAAAAGAACCGACTTGTGCAAGGCTATATTTAGAGATAAGTGTTATTATTTCCATTGTACTTTGTACATTGCTACGTCTTTTAGGTGAATATTTGGGCTTGGTGCAACCAGATTTGTTGGGACGACACGATCACTCCCCGCCAGCTACGATCTATACAAAAGAGGATTGCGAATTCCTCAGGATAGATAGGTCCGTATAGCAAGATAGATACACGAACCATATAGTATTAATATCAGGGGCGTATCCAGCAATTGTCAAGGGGTGCGATATTTGAGGTTTGCATCACTGCGAGCGAAGCGAGTCTCAAAAAAAATTACATTATATACTGTGCATTCTAAGCATTTCAAACTGTACTAGTATTTTGTTAATAATTTTTCAACAAAGGATCGGTATCGATCTATTGGTCCTTTATATAATAGTCACTGATTGACAATTTGATGCAAAAATGATTTATATTATTGTTTTTGTGAACAATTTTTGTTTTTTAGTGCAATTGTTTCTACCAATTCTTGAAAATGAATTAAAGATCTTTCCGAACTTTGTTCGAACAAAATAGCACATACAACATTTTCTTAGACCTCTCAATATTATAGTAAGACAAAGGAGTTTGGTTCATGTTACAAGAAATTCAAACAAAAACCCCAAAAATAGATGAAAATTAAAGTCAACCTTTTATTTTCATTACCAAGATACTTTTTTTTAAATGAACCAAACTTTCCTTTGTACAGTTACAATATTGAGAGACCTTAACACGTTGTGCATATGTCATTTTGTTCCAATGAGGTTCGGATAGATGTTCATTTCATTCCGAACATATGATACCGAGAACATAAGAAGTGTCTTGATGTGTTTTCTAAAACAATATAAGATACGAGAGTATATCATAAAGTTCTCACAATATCTCTCTTATTTTTTATTTTTCAATATATTCTGATGAATTTTTCACAGAATGTGTAGTATAGAATGCTGTATTAATATATCAATAAATATTTGGTATAACGGAAATATCATTTAAGAAATGGTTGCCATAGTAACCGGAAATCAAGGCACCCGGGGCAAATAAAAATTGTGCAAGAATAGCCCCAACTAACCATGTTTAAATGCATAATAAGTTATCAAATAAGCCATGAAACACATTAAATTGTTAAATATCATGTGTTCTTGACTGTTTTGATATCTTTGCAACATATTTGTTTTAGATAATCTTTAGTATAAGCAAAAGGACTTTTTGAGCTTATCTAGACTTTTTGTAGGTATGAATTTTATTTTTCTGATGATCTTTGCATCTATGCATGATCTTATTCAGTCATCTCTGATCATTAGCTTTGATTCTCAGAGTCTGGTATCACATCTAATGAAGCATGTAAGCATCCCCTATGACATCACACAATTCACATGATCAATTTATTTTATAGTAAAAGCATTTAACAACATATTCAAGATAACATTTTAATGTGTTTGATAATTTATAAGAGTTTATTATGTATGTAAACATGGTTAATTAAGCTCATTTTCTCAATTATTTTTATTTGCCCCGGGTGCCTTGATTTCCGGTTACTATGGTAACCATTACTTATCTAATATTTCTGTAATACCAAATATTTTTTGATAGATTAATAGAGTGTTCTATACTGCAGATTTCATGAAAATTTCATTAGAATATATTGAAAAATAAAAAAGTTAGAGAGATATTATGAGAACTTTATGATATACCCTCGTATTCATATATGTACTAGATACTTCATTCCCTGAAGATGTGGAATACTTTCTCTGCCTTCATTTTTGATTCTTTTATGATATACTAGTATATATATTTTTTCATTCAAAAGAGGATTTATAAGTGTAAAATTTTCAGAATTTTTTGATGACTGGTTTAAGAGAAACATGCGTTCAATTCAGTGTCCTTTGCTTAATCTTAAAAATAAATTGATTGTAGGAAGAGATTCCACGACGCCATTGAGAAAATTAATGAAGAACTATGCAAAGACAAGATATTTTTTCTAAATCGTCACAATACCATTTTGAACACATTGTCCAAAGAAGAAAAGGAAAAACTCATTCCAGGGATGCAACGGAAGGTAATTGCAATTTGAAAATTAATAGTATCAAATTGTCTTCATGTATTTCTCATGGCGTTTGTCATGTAAATGTATATACTAATATCTGAAATAACCTCTAAACCTTTTACATTCAGGTATTTCCTCCCAATAAGCTGGTGTTGGAGCAGGGTGACCTGTGTGAGTACGTCTTCTTCTTGGTATCAGGTACCACTTTTAGTCATTTCATTAAAGATATATACCCATGCTGGATCTTGTTTACTTTGCCCAAACAGAAGATTGGCACTTTATTTCTATACTACAGGGTGGGCAAATAAAAATGGGGCACTCGCATATCTTCTATTTGAAGGAGAATTTATGAACCAAATGTCATGACAATAAATCAATATAAAGTTTTAATATATGTGGATGTATCAGATTAAAATGATTCGTATTTCGTTACTTTTCTCTTGACGCAAGAAATGTGGCGCATGCCTATTGAAATTGTAAATAATTTTGAATGTCTACCATTTTATATAAAATTTATTTTCTTTCACGAAACAATCATCATTTTAATCATATCTCACCATCATATTATTAAAAATTCTGGAAAAATCCGAAAATCAGGGTTTCAGTGCCAGATAAACTTGTTTAACATCAAATTGAGAATAAAATAACTTATGGATGGTAGCTAAAGTCTAAGGATAGCATGAATAATTATGTAAAGTATGGACGTTTTATAGATTGAGGGCTATTATTCCTGATAAAGTTTGACATATTTGACATCGAAATCATGACATCACAAGCTATAATTATCATAAATTCTACAACATTCAAAATGAAAGACATGCTGATTATACAGGGTGTCAAGTAAGTCCCGTCCCCCCTGCTACAGCTAAAACCTTAGTAGATGGTAACTAGTGTGATATACCATTGGAAAGATCACCCAACGTTATGTTAACTCATCAACTGTCAAGTATTTTGGATGAAATTCACCTATATTTTCGTGATGTCCTTTTTAGTTACTGTACCCTCCTTTAGCAGCTTTCATTACGTCAAAATGAGAAGGATATGACCTCAGAAATACGTCAAGAAGTTAATCTTTTTCGCATTCAACTTGAAACAAAAAGGTTTTCACCATTTTTCCATGCACCTCTATTTTCTACACATCGAACCCTATCCAGAAATTGGTTGAATTCATTGCCATTAACATATGTATTCATCTTTAGGTCCTTTGACTTTTCTTACATCAGATTCTTAAAATCCTGCCAAATACGCCAAATTGCCATGTTTCTAGGCCTATGGTCACCTCAATTGATATAATGTAAAAATTAATGAACATGCTGTGTAAGTATCATAGTTTTATAATCGTCATTTGTGAATCAAAATAAATGTGCATGTAATCTCATGTTAGTCTCAGGTTTCTCTGATGGTATTGGTGAAAAATTGGTAAAGAGAAAGAATACACTCTAAAAAATGAATTACTTAAGTATTTCCCAAGTATAAAAATTACTTAAAGTTAAATACTTAGTTTTACTTCATTTTACTTAGGTTTTACTTATATTGTCATTTTGAGTTTTTTAATTGCTTAATTATGTAAATGAGTATTACAATTACTACAGTAAGTATTTCAATTTCTCTCCTTGCATTAGTAAATTCACCATAAATTCAGAGTGCCTGTGAAGTCATTTTGATTTTTTTAATTAATATATATATCATTGTTTTAAATTACTTATAATTACTTGTAATTACTTTGAATTACTTAAAAATTATTCAGTAGTTCAAGATTATTTAAGTAATTTTTTACTTAAAATGAGTAGTACAAGTTCTCAATATAAGGAAATCCAAGTAATATTTTTTAAGAGTGTATGTGATTAAGTCTCTTTGTTTGTAGGAACAACTCAGTGTTATAGTACTGTAGAAGTACCAGAGATAGGCAAAGACTGCATATTGAATCTTCAGCAATTGAAAGAAGGTAATTGCAAAAATAATTTAATAACAAAATGAGCCAACGAACGCCCGAAGACTCCGTTCTCTAGGTTACAAGATATTTATTTGCAACAATTCCACCATTTTAGTCAGAAAGCAAATCATTTACTATTGAATTACATCGCATCGATTTTAGGTGATTTCTTTGGCGAAGAATGTTTGTTGGAAAAGGATTGCAAAAGCATTTGCAGTCACCTCAGCCAGACGCCACTTACTTGCTTCAAACTTCACAGGTGTGCTTGTGTTATAAGTAAAAAACTAGGCCTAATATATCAAAATAGTGATGATAATACCACTCAACAACGATTTTTGTATCTTTAAGATGATTTTGTAGAAACTATTTTGCAATGTGTGAATAGAATTTAAGCCCAAGACTCCATGTATTGTGTAATGACCATTCTTTCCAGGCATTGTTTCCTAAATGCTCCGCACCTCGTGCGAATTTCGGAAAGCAATACCTTCAAGGAATGGTCATTCCTCATTGCCCTGAAATCCTTAGAAAAATACCATATCATACATACCATACATACCATATCAAAAATAGCAATGATAGCACCACTCAAAAACGATGAATGTTTATAATGAATGTTTTGATAAGTCGAATAAGTTTAATATTTACCTTTGTATTTTATTCTTCATCATTAGGACAGAGTTTCAAAAACTTGGCAGGGAACACGCCTTGGAATTGATTCACAAAAACCGGAATATATATCCAACAATGGAAACTTTAGCTAATTATGGCTATGGCCATGCCGTATGGGATATGCAAAAGAAAATACGCATCCGGAAAATACTTTTGGGAAAGAACAAATCCGCAGAACCCGTCAGTTCGATAAACATGCGCCCAGTTGATGAAAAGTAAGCCAATAGAATAGAATACATTACGCTCCATAAACTTAGCAAATGGAAAGCTTACCTGAGACTCGGGTCTTAGGTCTACATAAGCCATAAAAAGTCAATAAACAAAATTAAATGAAAGAATGCAAGAATGAAAATAAAATATAGTTGTTTCCAAACGAATTTTACAAACATTTTAAATCGATCGTATAAAAAATTAGCAAAGTTAATGACATATTTAAGTGTGTTTTTTTCATTTTACTCATACTGCTCTAGAGAAGCATATCAAGAAAACATGTTCAAGTTCCTCAATAATGAATCATTGCGTCCACGAACTAGCCCTTGCCGGGTAGTAAGTAAGCCATTTGGGATGAGCAATAGGGCAAAATCTGCAGTCGGGAAGAAAAAAGATAAGCAAGTACGCTTTAAAGGTATGTGACCGTTATTGATGATAACACTATGTGTGTGAAGTAACACTTTGCTAACATGTAGGAAGACTACACTTTTGACCCTAATTAACATAGAGAATTGTTACATAATGTATTTGCCTTGTTGATAGCAGTTCTTTGCTAACTACTTCGGTGGAACAGGAATCTATGTAAAACATCTAAATCTATGGCCACGTTCAATAGTTACCAAAAATATCGGCCATTATTTTCCTAGTTGAAAATTCGTCGAGTCTAAACTTGTATTTACATCCTACCTAGAGTTGTGCAATACAGATGAGAACAATAGCCACGAACTTGATGAAGCACAAAAGGTTGCTAGAGCTATCAGGTCCAACCCAAACTTGGTTAAGATGATGAATTCATTAATGAAGGTAAACACTGTAGGTACACAAACACACCAATACAAGTTATATAACCCCTTTGAAATATGACATTTTCGTTTGTTAAGCTGGCAACATACAAATAGTCATGCTATAAATGAGAAACATACAGGGTGTTCAAAAAAACGCAACCCGAAGAAATCGCTATATCTTGAAAAATACTAGTTCAATTATGTTCATATTTTCAGGAAATAAAGAAGAAACTGTGTAAGAACAGCTCCTGTAAATGGTTAGCTGTAAAACATGATGCCTTGGACACCTGCTCAAAAAACAGTTGTACTAGGAAAATACGAAAAACGCAGTCAGGGGTGACTGCAACCGCAAAAAAATTAAATAACTTCCTAACCATAGTGTTTTGGCTCTTAAAATTTGGCACAAATCATCTTCGTTCACTGTATGGATAATCTGTAGAGTGAAATCAAAATCACTTCAGGGACTTTACAGTTATGGTTGAAATGCTTTCAAATCGCAGTCAAACGTCCTGATTCGGGGAGACCTAAGAAGCCATTTTGACCATGACTGTAAAGTCCCTGGAGTGATTTTGATGAAACTCCACAAATGCACCACACATTGAATGAGGATAATTTTTGCCAAATCTGAAGTGCAAAAACACCATGGTTAGAAAGTTAATTTGGTTTTATTGCTGTGGCAGTCACCTCTGACTGCGTTTTCATATTTTCCTAGTACAACTGTCATTTGAGCAGGTGTCCAAGGCATCATGTTTTACAACTTACTGACCACAGGAGCTTTACATACACAGTCTCTTCTTTCTTTTTCTGAAAAAATGAACATAATTGAATTAGTATTTTCCAAGATATAGTGATTTTCCATTCACGTTTTTCGTATTTTGCTAGTACAACTGTGTTTTGAGCAAGTGTCCAAGATATCATGTTTTACAACTAAATAACAACAGGGGCTATACATACACAGTCTCATCTTTCTTTCCTGAAAATATGAACATAATTGGAGTAGTATTTTCTAAGATATAGCGATTTCTTTGGGTTGCATTTTTTTGAACACCCTGTAGTTAAAACAGAGACATATAACGGTTAAAACAATAACACTTATTTCAGTACTATAAGAGGGGTACTGATTATGAGTACATGTAAAATATGTCTAAAATTTACAATTTTATTTTGTCATTTTACATTTAAGGAGCACATTGTTGTAAGGAATGAGTTCCCTATAAAAAAGAAAGTAGAATCTAGAGATCTAACTTTCACTAACCAACGGAACAAGGTGCTTGCAAATAAGTCCAAGGCAGGCTGGTTTTACGCTTCAGAAGCATCCACAGATGGACCTGACGAAGTGGTGAGGCATACTATTGCATTTCCTGGACTAGCATTGACATTATAAAGTTCATGCCAATCAAAGATGTCTTGGATACTAACTTCCAAATCACTTGTATTATTAAAATGCATAAAGGTTCAAATTCTCCTCTTTCAAAACTATTGTCGGACAACCTTGAACTTCGATAGGTTATCCTTCCTACATCGTTGTCCGACAATAGTTTTGAAAGAGGAGATAAATTTTAACAAGTATTTTGCAGCTAAAAACGTCAAGATTTGGTTTAATGTCTTCCTTCTTTTGTTCAAAAAATAAAACTATGCTTGTTGTAAGGAAAAAAGGCATACCTTTAGAAAAGATTGCTTTCAAAATATCAAAAAGGCTGTATCCCTTCTTGAAATCCTTTAACTCAGTCAAAATATTAAGTTAATTTCATAGTTAATAACCATGTATCATATGAATGATCTTATCAATCCAGTCACAACCAGGTGGTAAAATAGAACTATCCCTTGAGTCAAATGAGCTGGTGAAGCGGGCAGATATGGAGGCACGGTCATACGCTAAGCAAGTCCAAAGCAGGCGGAATACCATTCAAGAAGATGAAACGTAAGAACAATGCTATTTTTACATAACGTCAGCTTAGCTTTCAGTTATATGTTCCCCTCTTGTCACTCCCAAATATCTCTGCTATCGTATGCATGGATATCCGTTCATTTAAATATGAATAGTACATGCCATGTATTCTAAGCTAAGCTTGTGTTCGCAAATGCAGCTTTCGGCTGTCGGCTCCCGGATTGATACTATTCTGAGGGCAACTTGAGTATGAATAAAACCTGTCACTATTCAATTTATATTAAAATGTGGTGGCCATAAAATGTAGGTTGAACCGTCAGCCGGCAGTTGAATTCACAAATGCTACCTCAGTTTTTTTACATTCTAAATATCATATTGACCATTGTAAAGTTTGATCGTGTTTTCAATTACCCTTTGCATTCGCATTCGTTTGAATTCACTTCTTAAAAGAGAGCTTCGTCTTGTAGTTTAACTAGACTCTGAACGCAGGGTAGTTTTCCATTATACAAAGCACTTTTAACAAATTGTCTTTGACGTTTCAGACATTTTTTGAAAAAGTTGATCTGTATTTCTATATTTATTGGCATCGCTTTTTAATTGTTCTCCCTTTTTACTTTAGGTACCATACCAGCATTCACGATGCCAAAGAAACTGCTTTTATAAGTATGTCTTACAACAAGTTTAGGAGCGAATTCCTGCGTAGGCAACTGAAGCTGCAAAAGGAAAAACAGGATGTTAAAGCATTGAGACATCTTAGGAAGGGTCAGGAAAACTTCATGTCCAAACTTAAAGCGGAACAAGAAAGAATGGCTAATTCAACCAATAATAGGGTACGATATGAAGCGATGAGCGTGATTAGCAACTACTTGGTAAAGTACTGAAACTGACCTGGAAATTGGAGAAAAATGGGAGAATAATTCACAAAAAACATATATAGAGATTATCCTATATGAGGTTCAGGATATTGGGATTATCCCGAGGCCAATATAATATATCTGCCCGAGGGCCGTAGGTCCCGAGGGAAGATATATTATATTGGCCAAGGGATAATCCCAATATCCTGAACCGACTATAGGATGATGTTTATCCCATACCAATCACATTGTTCAATTGTTGCAACCAATCGTGGAATTATTTTAAACTGTTCATGTCCAGTTTTTTATTCTTGTCCGTAGCCGGATTTTCCTGTTCAAATATTTGATTATTAACGGGGCATACTGCTCCTTCCCTTCCTTAAAGCATCAAACAGATCGCGATTGTTTGCGTTTTTCTCCATTGTCGTTTACAGTATGCGAACGTTACAAAAAATAACCATTGATACGGGACAAGGAGGATTGGAAGCCAGGGTTCCAACTCGATATTCTTTAATCTCCACGCATGCGTCATTTGCTATTCGTGTCTGTATAATTTGTACGACTGCATGGAGAATGACCCGATACTCTCCAACAAAGCTATCGCTAGGTGATTGTTTTGCAGAATATCGGTGTTGCATTCTGGGAGCCAATCCTCCTTGGATACGGGAACAGCGATTATGACGTAGCGGTTAGATATACTATATCTACAAACCGGCTTTATGTACCCGTAACACGTCTAAGTATGGGATAAATAACTATACATATATAATATATAAAAACTGATTATAAAAACAGAAAATAACAGAAGAAGTAATTCAGTCACTACCGGTTTCACTTTTATTCTTCAGGTAACTGAGTATCATTTACTTGTGACACTCCCCCAAACAGATGGCTAGCGGTGCCCAAAAAGGCCCACTAATTGAGGCCCTACAAAATGTTTGGGCCCAAAATTCGTGAATTGAAGAATATTACTTCGAATTTCGTGAATTGAAGAATACACCTTCGAATTCGTGTTGGATGTAAATGATTATATATGTGTGAAATCGCTCAAGGAATTTTTGTTACATGTACTTTCAAAATGATATGTTTGATATTTTATCTATAAGGATGGTCTCCCAAAACCAAGACAGATGTGGTTGCGAGGAAAGTTGTTGATGAAGAAAAGCCAGGCTGAAGGTGATCTCATAGAGAAAATACATAGGCCAATGCCACTTAACTTCAGAAGTGGAAGTTCGGTAGGTTTATTGTTGAACAGGAGAATCCAACACTCAAGACACAGGACTTGATCGTCTCATTAAAAGAGAAACCTTCGGAAACTTCGCGACATGCAATTTATTCATAAATGATACAAATAATATGTTATACAGCATAAACCTATAGTCTTAATATTTTTATTTAGTCGCCCAATAGTTCTGTGAGAAGCACACCGCGATCCCTACGACTGACCAAACACTTCACCTTCGATGAGGAAGATACAAATGGTAACGTATTCTCCTTTCTTCACAGTCTATGCTTGTAAACGAATTTCCCAAATTTCACCTGTAAATCAATGTCGAACGTTAGATTCCTAGAAAAACAGTTTTGTCTTTTTTAAGTTACAGGTTATCATTCGCGTAACAGACTAATGGTTAGCAATGACAGACTATCAGTGCGGAGTAATTCATCTACTGAGAGAAGCGTCTCGACAACTCCAAGAACTCCGGATAGAAAGACACCATCTAGTCCATTGAGTATTGCATCGGCAAGACAAGCGAGGATTAGAAAAAGAAATAGCAGATTGACTATGACATTATCAGAACATCCTTCTAGCACCCATAATAATGATGCCAACGATACAAGCATATTACAAACTCAAATTGTTTCGAATCAAAATGAAGAAAATGTCTCAGAATAAATTCGCCAAAATCATAATTGTTAATAACAACTTAGTGCCCAAGTGACGTAATTTATTTATTGACCTATATTTAAACAAAGTAATATTTTTATAAAATATATTTACCTCATACATTAATTATGTTTATATGCGATATGAATTAATTATTTTGTGTTTTTAAGTGTTCCTCAGTTCTATATGAGAGGGTCTTTATCAACAGAATACGTAACAAGTCTGAAAGTAAAATTGAATTTGTCTGGAACATCACATTAGATTACAAATTAGATTTTTTACAAATAAATGATATTTATTATAAAGTATTAATAATCCAAATCCAAATCAAATATATGGAAATATGACTCACGTGGAGAGGTACTTTCTTTCAAGACAGAGACTAATGGCAAGATTTCTTACTTAATGTTTACTTTACATTGCTAACACCTCAAACACAACTCTGTATAAATAGGTCATGCAAATCCGTACAATACTTTTGGTTAAGTAGGCAGGAAGTGGTTTTTTGTAACAGCCATTTTATGAAGTTCGCAAAGCTGCACAGCTGCACTTATGTAAGTTGTTGATATATACAATTCAATGTCCATTCATCTCATTAACCACCAGTTAGCATTTTCTGTCCCTTTGAAGGCAGCCAATTTGTATGATGACACTGAAAAAGAAAATATGTAACTCAAGCAATAGAACAACTACATCTACAAGATAACCAATAACATATTCTCTTTTCCCTAGTCGTTTGATACCAATGGGATGATAATCTCTTTTATCTTAATTAACAGAATGCCTTTAAGAGCACTATGGTTTCTTACTTCAATTCTATTTTATTTTCGATTATAGTATCTGTTGCACTTAAAAGATTCTTGGATTCATTTACATTTATATGTGTAATACGTATAGAGATATATGGTTCACATTGTAAGATATCTTACCAGGTGATTTGTGTCCTACTTTTGCCTTTTTGCCAATGTACATAAATTGATGCTCTGGTGGGTACTTTTGATGTTGTTTGTTACTAGTGTATGTGGTAAACTTTTGGTTTATTTGTGGGAATGTTTGCTTATTATGACTATAGGTGGGTTTACTTGGTTCTCTCATCTGGAAGGGGGCTTTAGGGATATCCTGTAGTTTTTCTTTATTCCAAGTATCGTCTATACTGATTTGGCCTTAAATACAGAAATGCAAAATGTATGATCATGTATTACAAAGTCAAACCAGCTCTCATTACTGTTCAATGCTATTTTACAGACTAGAATACATTGTATCACTGCCAGAGTTTCTCGAAAATATGCCCACTTGGCGTTTATTTCGCAAGGGTGTTCAGCTGAAAGCCCTCGAAAAGGACGCCAATGGGACTTTGTTAAGAGGGAATTATTGCTTTCCAAGGCGGTAGGTGTTAATTGAGAAGAGAGAATATCGAAATATTTGCACCCGAGGATAAATAAGGGTTATGTACTGGGAGGTTTTGGATATGGGGTTTATCCAGAGGGAGATATGCATATCTACCTGAGGGACCGTAGGGACCGAAGGTAGATGTGCATATCTCACGAGGGATGAACCCCATATCCAAACCGACCGTACATAACTGCTTTATCCTATACCAAGTAGAGTTTTCTAATTTCCTTTCGATTTTTTCAATTTTTTTTCACATTTTTCTAATTTTTTTCAATTTTTTCAATTTTTTTCAAATTTAAATTTTTAAAAATTTTTTTCACATTTTTTCTTTTTTTTCAATTTAAAAAAAGTTAAATTTTTTTTCGAATTGGGAAGATATGCGCTGGAGCGGGAGATATGGCGGGAGATATGGAGGTTCAGGATATGGAAACCTCAATACGGGATATATCTTACCAACTTATCTCCCTAAAACTCTACTTGGCATAGGATAATACATCGTAATGAGACGTCCCTATTTAACGTGCTCGGTTGTTGTTTAGGCAATATCCGTGCAAAATAATTACTTTCTCAAATGCTTCGCCCAATGGGCGCTCACGCCAACGGGGCTTTAGAGAAGAAAACTTCCTTTTTATATCTACCACTCTATCACATCCAATCAACGCCCATTGGTCTTTTTAGATAGAAACTCGTTTAACGTTCGTCTACACAGTAAAATTGCGTCCATATACACACTTACCATCAACAAACACTATACGTTTTCCCTCTGCCTGTAGCACTTCTTTCACATTTCTCCATGTACTTCCACCCCGTCCATGTCGTAGCCTGAAGAATATTGAAAACACTTTTTTTGAAAGCGATGTTGTATAAGTTACCACCATAAAACATTCATAATTTTTCAGATTCCTTCATTCTTCTGGGACAGGATGTATGACGTCTGATGCCCTGCGTTCGGAGGATACGTAGAATAAAGCATTTGGGGTTAATTGTACGCACCATCATGAGAAAGCATGGCCTTCTATTAGCACACACTGGATTTCTAGTTGAAGACAGAAAAATGTGATGAGTGTCATATTGGTATGCGCGGTTAAACACGACTGTGATCATCATCACTACGCATAATTTCTCGGGCTTAACCAGTTTTTCTTAAATGGAGAAACATTTAATTCACAAGCAGCAAGAGTGTTAATTTTAAGATGGTATACATTTATTTCATGTAAAAATATTTATATTGAGGTGTGAAAGAAAAAACCTACTTTGGAGGTAAAGGCATGCCTTTCTTAAATCCTGCTTTTTCCAGGGACATATATGCTTTGTGGAAGTCATCGTAACCTCCTGATTTGTGGTACTGAAGATGGGGTTGGTCAGTGTCAATCTAAAATGTAATTAATTACTTGTTAATTGATTATTTTATAATAAATCAATTAATCACAACATCTGTCCAAGGTTGCTGATCGAGGGAAGAGACGTGTATGGTTCGTGTACAATTCAATATCTGGTATGGTCACAGTTAGTATGCAGTTATGACTTTGGGGCAAGCCCAAATCATTAGTTTACATCTAGTATAGATCATGATTTGGGTTAGCCCCAAATCAACTGCATACCGACTTTGGGTATGGTATGAAGGCGTAGCAAAGCATGAAGCAGGCGGATCAGTTGCCTCACCAAAGAGAAATATTAATTTAAGCATTTTTCATTTGAAACTATTAAGAATAAAGTATTTTATTCAAATTGCCTCTTGGATTCAAAGTCATGCCTAATTTTGGGTCCTGGCTACACCCATGCCGTTTCTATGAATAATGCATAATTTCCAATTCCACTGTTGATCATAGCAAGGCAGTAACCGAATATTTCAAATCGTGGAAACCAATGGCCGAATATTTTATAAGTATTTGTCATTAATCAAACGACATTTACTTGAACAGTTCGCATAAAAATCAGATACTTACGGATGGTCTCCTATCCACCATTGATGCATATGGTGGCCATTTTGAATCTTTGTAATGTGAGAGTAGATCAATTGGTCCTGTTTGAGTCATTACTACATTTGGCTTAGGTCGTCCCATCTCATCGAATAATTCCATGGCTTCAAGGTGGTGATTCCTGGATGTTGAGGATTTATTTGTTTCTTGTCTGTCAACCAACACAGGTGGAATGGGTCGCCTTTGGGATCTGAGTTTCGATACAATTTGTCCCAAAGCCTGTTTCCGATCCTCCGAGTCTATATTATTATTTGCCGAGCTCTCTCCCGATATATCGCGTCTCCACCTGTTCATCAAATCATAAGTAGTCCTGCAATAATATATCATATCCATATTTCTAAAGCTATATCTTATATAACACAGATAGTATATCCTATGGTTGTCCATAACATAAAATTCACCGTACCAGATAACACAATTGTATGGATCAATCAAAACATTGTTGTGGTATACAAATTAGAAGAAACGTACTTTGACTTAAAACAATGTAGATTACAGAATAAACCGAACCAACCGTAGGGTCTACCGACATTACTATTCCACATGACATTATTACGCCATGGGATCACTTTATCTTTGTTTTATTTGCTATAACTGCTTCTATACTTACTTGTTGAGCTTTGAATCTGGTCTGACAGGAATATATGTGGCCCTCTGATAATCTAAAGACATATCTTGTTAAGTGTGTCTCTAATATTACAGAATGACAGTCACAGTCCTTGAAAATCAAATCCAAAACATCGATCACAATCGTCCAATTCACTCCGTACATAGACGTCCTTCGCTTAGCAACATGTGACCCTACGCTATTGGTAAACGAATTGGATTGGTTTTGTTGATTCAACTTATTTCAATCTAAATCCAATAAACATATTTACATATACATTGTATTGTAAAAGTACACACAAACGACTGGTTCATGTCTTACACACAGGCATTTTACATCTTGTTGCCCTTAAATAGACTATATTGACGATTAGATGCAGTATCAGGAATAAAAGAAACATAAATTACACGGTCATCATTAATAACACGTAACACGTAACTAGTCGGTTTCTAGACAACTCATCCCAAGACAACTCATCCCAAGACAAGTCACCCCTAAGACAACTCATCCCAAGACAAGTCATCCCTAAGACAACTCATCCCAAGACATCTCATCCCAAGACATCTCATCCCAAGACAACTCATCCCAAAGACATCTCATCCCAAGACAACTCATCCCACTAGTATAATTGATAAATTATTTAATCTGTCCTCTATATCATATATATCCCTTTTTAATTTTTACAATTACAAAGTGATATTTGATTATTCACACAATCTTAATATTGATAATTTTTAGCATCTTGAAAAAGCACTTGAAAGTTTTCTTCTTTTAACTATCAGTGTTTTTATTATTTCTGGGTTATTCTCAAATTCTCAATATATTTGAGAATATAGAATTGAAGATAAAAGTCAAAGACATAATTTCAAAATTCAATCATCATGATTCTGAAAGTTTAAAATTGGAAATCTTAATTAAGAATAAGCCAAATATGACATACTGGAATTAAACAAAATATTTTAAAACAAAGACTGAATTAATCTGGGAGAATTATTCTGATAATACCCCGGATAATACATTCTTATTGCATTAATCCTAATCTGACACCCTTGATGATCTCAAAAGATATTCCATGGCCAAACACAGTGTGCTAACTGTTAAAATCTCTAAAGATGTTTCAAATATTCTTTCAAAAGTTGAAATTAATTGTATAAATTAAATTATATTTCAAGTCGGGAAGAGTTGTCTTGGGGATGAGCTGTCTTGGGATGAGATGTCTTGGGATGAGTTGTCTTTGGATGAGATGTCTGGGGAAGAGTTGTCTTGGGATGAGATGTCTTAGGGATGAGTTGTCTTGGGATGAGTTGTCTTAGGGATGAGTTGTCCTGTTACCAACTAGTCTCAGGCCCGTACGTAGCCAGGGGGGGGGGGGCTGGCCAAAAATTCTTTCCAAATCATGCAGTGTTTCACCATTTTGAGCACTTCTCAAGTGATTTTAGTCATATTTGGGCCAAAATTGTCAAATGTGGACCCCCTGGCTACGGGCCTGAGTCTATACCTACATTGGAACTTGTAATTTAAGTTGAAGCTGTTATTCAAAATCTAGCAATAATGTCTTCAACCAGGACAAAGTCTGCATTCATTCTTGATTCTGGTGACAACAGTTGCATAAACAACATTTCATGGATTATTTGGGCTAATATGTTTCCCCGGTTATTTCACTCATAAGAACATACTGATGATTAAGGCTGGTTTAATGATCTTAATGGATAATCCTTGTGAGCCAGTTTCTCTATTGATATGGTAGCATAATCATTCTTTTTCTATCCATATTTAGAGAAACATTTCTCCATGTTTTGTTAAATGTAGAAAGTATTATAAACGTACATAACTACCATATCAAAGAAAAATGGACTTGCAAATATCACTTTAAGCTCGAAATGATAATTATCTGATTTAATTTAGCTCTCCTTGTGCCATAATTAATGCTCGAATGATGACTTGCATAATTTTTTTTCACTTCAGTATTATCCCAAATTAAAGTTTTTATCATATTTGATTGACTGTGTGAGTGACATGTCTCGAATACTATCTTTTCCTTCAAAAATAGGCGCATTGCCTGTTCAAGACTGGTCAAGTTGTAAAAAATATGTGTGTATCCCTGTGACATGATGCCGGTGGTTGATACTCAAGATAATTCTTTTAAATATTTTTGACTCGATAGGCAGACTATTATGTCGTCAAACCTTCACAGCAAAATTCACTTCTGATATATACAGTATATAATAAGGGACTTGGTATTAAGGCTATACCAAAATATAACAATGCAACAGACCTTTTTTATCAAGAACCCATCCCCTAGAAATGAATTAACGTGTACCTACTCCCCTCCATAGGTTTGGCAATCTTAGCTCCCCCATTGAACTACGTGTTCGAATTTTTATTTACTTAACCTGCGATGCAAATACTTATATACTATTGATGGAAACGTAATTTGACTTTATTTCCAATAACTCCAAATTTTCTCAATTTTTTCCTCATTTACAATAAGTCGAAAATTGATGATAAATTTGATGACTTTTTGAAAATCGACATTCCCATGTTAACCAGTGGGAAATGGTAGGTTTACCGCAAGTCGTATGACAGAATATCCATCCATCCGAGTCCTTGCAAAAATACGAGTAATGCCTAGGTCACATAGCCGCCGGGCGCCGGCCGATGAGTAGTCATCGGCCGATTTCAAAATCGACCGGGCGCCGGTGACTTTTCACCGATGTCTTGATCTAATCGTGAGTATGGTCACATTAGTACAGGCATCGTACGGCGCCCGCAATCAATTGAATCTGAAAGACATCGCACGGGTATCGCAAGACTATCTGCCGATGGCCGTACGGCACCCGCCAGGACATCGGTCGATCTACAGGCCTCTAGATTTATACTAAATTTTTGTATGACCCAGTATGACTGTTCCACATGGCGTGAATGCAAGATTTGAAAACGAAATACTTCGATAGACAGGACTTCCAGGATAATAATGTTTTCATGCAATAAAAATGAGAAAAAGAAGATCCTCTTTTGAGTAAATAGGTTCAATATTTAGAAAAAATGCTGACATGGGGTCCCTATTCATAATTTTTCAAATTGTTTGATTGATATTTTTCTATCATTTGTACTTCAATTGAAAGAAAACATATTGTTTTCACTTGGTAAAAACGTAAAAATAATATAGAATAAAATGTTTAATATACTGCTAAATAAGTTGCATTAAGAGAGAATCGTAGAGAATATTTTTTCCTGTATAGTAGGCAGTTATTTGTTGTATTATAGCGGAAAAAATATAATACGTATTTTGAAGTTTTATTTTTGATTTAATAATATTATTCGTGTATTATTTAAAAGGAACAACATATAATGCCATATAATATAGAATAATATTTTTGTCAGGAGCAAATAATATGTTGGTATTGCAATCAAAAACCGATTATACGCGTTTATTTTCGAGCCGTTAATCCCTAATTATTCAATCCTATGAAATGAGTTTCATTCATACTGATAAGTAATCCGTTTGTTAGGGTTAATGGATTAATCTCTACAACTGATGGCTCTTAATTCAACAAAAATAATTTGCAAAATAAGTTTTTACATATATATTTGATTGTATAATGTCCCTCGTGTTATGATTAACATTGTGTTAAATTTTTGGTTCAATCAATTAATTCATTGTAAAGTTAATTTTTTGAATTTTTTATTAGTTGGTTTTCCTCACATTTTAATTCCATTGTTTCTCTGTTACAGCAAACAACATTTAAATCCTCCTCTTACACAGGCACAAACAACCACCTGTATTCACTTTGCCAACCCAAAAAAACAGTCATGACACGGAACTGCTTAATATTCAATAAAAACATTACACATTTTATACAGACCCGTACCTAAGGACCCCCCTCCCCGTGGACAACAATTCTTTCAAAATCATGTAGTTTTTCACCATTCACATACATGTGTTGACATTCCAGAGCAATATAATAAGACAAACTTTAATCCCTAATTATTCAATTTCTATGATTTGAGTTATATTCACACTGATAAATAATCTGTTTGTTAGAGTTGATGGATTAATTTCTACAGCCGATGGTTCTAATTTCAACCGAAAAAATAATTTGCAAATTAAGTTTTTCATTATTTGATTGTATGATGTCCCTTATGTTATGACTAACATTGTGTTAAAATTTGGATTTAATTGATTGACTCAACGAAAAGTTAATTTTTATTCAATGGGTTTCCTCAAATTTTTACTCCATTGGGTTTCCTCACAATTTAACTCAATGTTTCTCTGTCAAATTAAGTTTACAACAAACAACACTTAAAGCACCCTCTTATAATTACACAGACACAAACACCTTTATTCACTTCACAAACAACACAAAACATTCATGACACGAAACTGCTATGTTCAAGTAAATCCCCCTCCCTTGCCAAAATTCTTTCAAAATCCTACATAGTTTTACCAATCTGAGCACTGTTAAGTGATTTTTGGCTAAAATTATCAATTGTGACCCTTTGGTATGTTTTGAAAATTGATCCCCTGGGCTAAAACTTATTACGAGCCTGTAATAAATTGGATGTATTGCTCCGATTTCTTCTGACAAATCGCTGATAATAAATTAGGAAACGTGCATTAGGTTAACTGATACAGCCATGCTAAAACAAAATTAAAACTTGTATTCTCTCACATTTCACAATTCATGTGTTTTCTGTTATACTTATTATATCTGAGATATAAACCAGGGATATAAACAACAGATTAATCCATGATGTAATACTTTTGTTTCTTCTACAACTGGACTATTTCTTTTTATTACAGCTGGTTTTATTAACCTCTCTTTGTTTTCCATTTCCAAATATATATATTCAAAAGGTGCGAGATTCGGTATGTTTATTTGTTTGATAATGAAAATAAAGAGGGGAGGGGGACATTTTACTTTTATTCCTTATGTTTCATCTGACGCCTTTAGGAAATTGGTGCATGGTAGAACAAACTGATGTAGATAACATATTGACATACAGTATGTCATAGCAATATGACAAGTAAAACTTTAATCCCCAATTATTCAATTTCTTTAATATGAGTTTCATTAACACTGATAAATAATCCGTTTGTTATAGGCAAGGGATTAATTTCCTATAGCCAACAGTTCTAAGTTCCACAAAAACATAATTTAAAAACTAAGTTTTTCATATTTATTTGATTGTATAATGTCCC